TTGCGGCTCGTCAGTTGCAGGAGAAGTGCAGAGAACGACACCAGCCATTGTACTCGCTTTTTGTTGCTTTCACCAAGGCATTTGATACGGTGAACCGCGAGGCATTGTGGCTGGTGTTGGGTAAGTTTGGTTGCCCGCGTAAGTTTGTAAGTTTAATTGAATGTCTGCACAGTGGTATGCGAGCGAGGGTGCAGCTGAGTGGAGAGACCTCGGATGACTTTGCAGTTGTCTCTGGTGTGAAGCAAGGCTGTGTCTTAGCTCCTGCCCTGTTTAATATATATCTTCATGCAATGTTGTCTTGTGCTTTTGATGCGGCTTGTGCTTACGGTGTTCGTGTGGAGCACCGTATTGATGGTGGGTTGCTGAACATCCGTCGTTTCGGTGCGAGAACTCTAGCCTGTGAGACAACTATCCGTATGTTGCTGTTTGCTGACGACTGTGCGTTGTTTTCACACAGCGCGGATGAGTTGCAGCACATGACTAGTGCTCTGGCTTCGACAGCGGCCAAATTCGGGCTCACCATCAACACAAGCAAAACTGTCTGTCTCTTTCAGCCTTCACCGGAGGTGCAATCTTCAATATTGCCGCAAATCAGCATTGGTGCTGAAGTATTGGAAACCACCTCCCGCTTCTGCTACCTTGGGAGTGTGATATCGACTGATCAGGAGCTACATGTTGAGTTGCGTATTCGCGTGTCGAAGGCAGTAGCGGCATTCAAGAAGCTTGAGTACCGAGAGTGGAACAACCATCAGCTTAGCATTGGCACGAAGCTGATAGTGTGCAAATCCATGGTAAAGTCTGTTCTTCTATACGGCAGTGAAACGTGGACGATGTAACGTCGGGATGTGCGATATCTCGAGCGGTTCCATCAGCAGTGTCTGCGACGAATTTTGCGGATCGGTTGGGGCGCCAGAGTTGCAGACACAGAAGTGTTGCGCCGAAGTGGGATGTATGCAGTGGACTGCATACTTTTACTGCGACACCTGAGATGGCTCGGTCATGTGAGCCGTATGGATTCGGCGCGGATACCGAACCAACTTTTATACAGTCAGCTGAGTATTGGAAAGCGGCACGTGGGGAAACCAAAGTTACGTTACCAGGACATGAGTAAAGTGAGCGTCACACGTTCTAACCTTGATTGCAGATCATGGGAATCGAAGGCGGTTGATCGGCATGCATGGCGCGATCTAATCACGAAGGCAGTTGCTGAAGTGCAGGAGATAGCCCTCATGCATGCAGAGAAGAAGCGGCAAGTGCAGAAGCGGCAAGCACCGATGAATTGTACTCCATCGACATCGAG